ATAATATGCCATTATCTCTTTTTTCCAGTATTAAACACCCATGTGCTTTTGGCTTGAAGAAAAAAAAAAAAAAAGAGAGACTGAGCCTCACTAGAAGGAAGACAATATCTCAACTGCATTATTACCATATTTAAAAGTATGAAGTTTTGCCCTAGCCAGTTTGGCTCAGCGGATAGAGCATTGGCCTACGGACCGAAGGTCCCGGGGTTTGATTCCAGTCAAGGGCAGGTACCTCGGTTGCAGGCTCCTCCCTGGCCCGGGCCCTGGTCGCGGCATATGCAGGAGGCAACCAATCGATGTTCCTCTCTGTCTTTCCTTCTCTCTTCCACTCTCTCTAAAAGTCAATGGAAAAATATCCTCGGGAGGATTTAAAAACAATTTTTTTTCATGAAGTTCTAAATGTTCAGACTCTTCAATCTAGCCTTGGCCCCTCAGGAATTTTTCTTTTAGAATAACTATCTTTGTAAAGAGAATTTTATTTGCAAGGACATCCAACCACAGCATTCTAATTGCAAAAAAATAAAAATTAAAAAATGGACACATTAAAAATCCAGCAGTCAGGGTATGGTTAATAAATTATGGCACATCCATACAGTAAAATGTATTAAAAACGATGCTGATGTTTTAATGGCTACCTTTGGGAGGTACTGACGGAGAAGGAGCTCAAAGGAGCCTCTTTTGGGGTGCTGGGAATGTTCTGTATCTTGATTTGATGATGGTTGCACAAAAGCATAAATATGAAATTTGTGCGCCCTGCTATATGTATTTTAAAGTATTTTTAAAAGTATGACGACAAAGACTATTAATCATTAAAGATTTAAGATATCCGCAATATGAAAATTAGGGATAAAGACAAAACCAGCAAGGCTTTTTTTTTTAATTTTTGTGTTTTTTTGTTTTTGTTTTTTTTTTTAGCAAGGCATTAAAACTACAGTTATAGCCCTAGCTGGTTTGGCTCAGTGGATAGAGCGTCAGCCTGCGTACTCAAGGGTCGTGGGTTCGA